CCCCTGTCGGAGTCTGAATCCCACGAGAAAGATGAACAGCCAACAGGGAGTGGGAGTGTGCCTCTGTTGGCTGTGGAGGAGAGTGGGGAAGGGCAAAGTCTGGCTAGGCAGAGCAGGAGAGAGGTAGAGCAAGGGACAGGGAGTTTGGAGAAAGACTCAGGCCACCAACCCGCTCTTCATCCTAGGGCATGCAGGGAGGAACGGAGAAGGGAGCAACATGAGTTGCGTGGCTTACGGGGGAAGAAAGGGCCCTGATTCCCTTCATTAGCCACAGCTGGGAATGAGAGTTTAAAAGAGATGCATGCTGAGAGCGGTGAGTTTATCTTGTGTTGACTTTGCATATCTGTGTTCCTGGCGTCTTCCCAACCGTGTTGAATTGTGGCCGTTCCTTCACGTCTGGAATTCCTTCTCCTGCCCTGCCGGACTAATGACCTCATTTTGCCTTGATTGGACTTATAGTTCCAGTTTTTGTTGACCACGTTTTGGACTGGATTCCCTGCCGCCCAAGGCTGTTCCTGGGAGAGTTTTTCTCCAGCCCAGAAGGAAACCAGGACAGTTGGAGCTTATAAAGGGACTCCTACTGATTATCTGACTATGTTGCCTTTGTGCCACACCCCTTTGGGTCATCACATTGCTTTGATGTGAAAGACACACACTTCACACCCTGGTTTGTGACTCCTTTTGGATCCTAATAGGGAGGGACAGATCTGACCTCCCTTCTGCATATCAAAAGAGAATAAAACAGCCTTCCCACTCCTTTTCCTGGACTTTTTTTCGCCCACCTCCTGGACAACAAACCGAATTAGGAGTGGGCTGCTTCTCTTTGGATCCTGGCTGATGCCTGTTGTGTGCAGGCATTGTTCAGCAATTTCCTGAGATTCTTAATTCAGGAATAGCTTAGGGCTGGTCAGCTGGCAGCCAGGGTGACTATTTTCAACTCCGACGGGGTTGGTCACCAAACCAGTAGTAACACCGGTTGAATCCCACCCCATCAGTGGAGGCTTTCAAGCAGATATTGGGTAGCCATTTGGCTCTCTGCTCAAGCAGGAGGTTGGTCTAGAAGACCTCAAGGTCCCTTCCAACTGTGTTACTATGTTATCTTTGTTGCTCTTCTCTGCCCTCTTTCAAGTCGCTGCACAGTCTCTTCTTCAAATCCTCCAGTGATGCACCCACAACTTCTGGTGGCAAGCAGTTCCTCGGGTTAATTGTTCTCACTTTCAGGAAATTTCTCCTTAGTTCTAGGTTGCTTCTCTCCTTTTTAAAATAAATTTTATTGCATATAAAAACATTAAAAACATTGAACATGGTGATCTTCTTTGACATACATTTCTGTCGATACATTTTGCATTTAGAAAGATAAAGAAGTTGTGTACAATTTATATACATTTATAGACACATATACATTTAGACTTTGTAGTTTTTAAATCTTTCTCATTAATTCTCATGTACGAGGTCCGTCATCTCATCCCTAGTTCACCTTAAGTTCTTATTTCAATTTTATGGACTCCCTTTCACGCCCTTCCAATAATAAAACGTATTCCAAATTTTATGGTATTCTGATTCATCTTGATCCTTCAATTCTAAAGTCAACCTATCCATTTCGGCACATTGTAATATCTTATCAGTCGTAACTTCCTCACTAGGGATTTCACTTGCTTTTTAATTTTGGGTGAATATCTTCCTTGCTCCCTTGATCACACGTAAAATTAAATAGGTATCGGCTTGACTAAATTTTTCTTCCATTATTCCCCGTAAGAACATCTCTGGTTTGTAACAATTTTTTAGCCCCGTTATTCCCTCCAGCCATGTCCAAATTTTACACCAGAACCCCTGGGGTCTTTTACAGGACCACCATGGATTGGTTTCTCTCCTTGGCTTCTTGTCTTGCCTTCTGGGCGCTTTGGAGAATAGGTTGACCCAATTTCAGACGAGCGGCTGCCCGATCTCGTCTTGAAAGCCTCCAGTCGAGGAATGGCAACCTCCATTTCCGACGGCAAAGCCCTTCCATGGGCTTTGCTCTCCTTCCTCTTCGGGTTGCGTCACACCGATGCTCTGCAATCCGACAAGCAGCTGTGCGCCTCCCACCCTTGGTGGCGGTTGAGCTGGTGGAGCAAGGAAGGCAGGATGTTGTCTCACTGCTAAGCAGAACAGGGGTCTGAAGAAAAGGAGCAGCCCGTTTTGTGTGTTGTAGGCGTTTTTGACAAACCATGGCTTAACGCAACCTGACTGCCATAGTGAATTTTGGCTGCACGTGAATTTTGATCCCAGAGGGAAATGCTACAAAGGTCGTAAGTGCAAAGAAAATGGTCATAACTCACTTTTTCTCAGAGCCATTGCAAAGTTGAACAGTCGCTAATCAAAGGTCTTCAAACTTGGCAGCTTTAAGACTTGTGGACTTCAAATCCCAGAATTCCTAAGGCAACATGACTGGAGGAAGAGGAATTCTGGGAGTTGAAGTCCACAAGTCTTAATGCTGCCAAGTTTGAAGGCCCCTGCTCTTCATCCATCTATCTATCTATCTATCTATCATCTCTCTCTCTCTCTCTCTCTCTCTCTCTCTCTCTCTCTCTCTCTCTCTCTCTCTCTGTACCTACCTACCTACCTGTCTACCTATTTATCACAAGGGTCTTCAAACTTGGCAAGTTTAAGACTCGTGGACTTCAACTCCCAGAATTCCTGAGCCAACATGCCTGGAGGAGGAGGAATTCTGGGAGTTGAAGTCCACAAGTCTTAAAGCTGTCAAGTTTGAAGGCCCCTGCACTAAATGGACTGTTGTAAATTGAGGACTACCTGTATTCATTTATTTATCCATACTGTAGTAATCTCTCTATGAAGGGAAAGGTCCTTTATTTGTGCCTAATATAATCGAACTGACATTTCTAGTGACCTTTTTAGTTGTGACCTGAAGAGGAAAGGAGCCTGGCTGTGGGGGTTACAGATTAACAAGAGTTGGAAGGGACCTTGGAGGTCATCTAGTCCAACCCCCACCCCACCCCCCCCAAGCAGGAGATCCTACACCATTTCTGATTGATGGCAGTCCAGTTTCTTCTTGAAAACCTCCAGGGATGAAGCTCCCACAATTTCTGAATAACAGAATAATAACAGATAATCAGAGTTGGAAGGGGCGTTGTAGGTCATTTAATCCAACCCCCCGCCCAAGCAGGAGACCCTACACCATTCCTGACAGAGGGCAGTCCAATCTCTTCTTGAAAGACTCCAGGGATGAAGCTCCCACAACTTCCGAAGGCAACTTCTGTTCCATGGGTGGATTGTTCTCACAGTCAGAAAATTCCTCCTTATTTCCAGGTTGAGTCTCTCCTTGTTCAGTTTCCATCCATTGTTCCTTGTCTGGCCTTCGGGTGCTTTGGAAAATAGCTTCACCCCTTCCTCTCTGTAAACATAGAAATACTTGTTTCTATGGATGGAATTTCTTGTGAATTTTGTCCAGTGGAACAGACAGTTTGGGAGTTTTGACTGCACAATCATCAAGGCATATGCTTGTAAGGTGCCGATGACACAAGTCTTCGTCCCCGTGTCCAACTGCGAAGGTTTTCTCCTGGTATCTGGAGAGAATTTATGTGGCCATCTGACTTTCGAAGACTTTTTAAAACAATACAGGAAGTTAGGGTTTAAATTTTGGAGCCCAAAATATCTGAAACATTGGTGAAAGATTTTCGGTTTTTACAGCCTTTCTTGCTACAGGTGTTAAGGGAATCGCTGCGGCCGTTAAGTGAGTTACACAATCATTAAGTGAATTTGGCTCGATTTTGCTTGTCAGACAGTTGCAAAAGGGGATCACATGATCCCAGGACATTGCAACTGCCACAAATATGAGTCAGTTGCCAAGCCTCTGAATGTTGTTCTCCCTGGGGATGCAGCAACGGTCATAAGAGTGAAGAACTGTCGTAAGTCGCTTTTTTCAGTACCGTTCTAACTTTGAACAGCCACTAAACGGACTGTTGCAAGTCGAGGATCTACCTGTACACAGGTTGTGTTAAGTTTGTTATTGATCCCTCTGTATCTCAAGGTTATTCCTACATACTGTTTTCTGTTTGGGATCCAATGCCCACTTTGCATTGTTTATTTTTTTCTGAATCATACTTGGACCTGTGGATGTTTTAATATTTGCATTCTTGTAACATCGGTGAGTTCCTGGGGGATTGTTTGCAAGGAATGAATGGATGAATGCATTGATTTGCAACCCACATTTTATTACAAATAACGTAGGGTGGAGAACATACCCAGCATTCCTTTCTCCTCCTAGTTTCCCCACAGCCACAGCCCCGTGTGAAAGAGAATATGGCTGGCTCAAAATCACCCAGCCAGCTTTCATGCCTAAGGCAGGACTAGAACTCGCTGTCTCCTGGTGACTGGCCCAAAGTCACCCAGCTGGTTTTCATGCCTAAGGCAGGACTAGAACTCACCGTCTCCTGGTGATTGGCCCAAAGTCACCCACTTGGTTTTCATGCCTAAGGTAGGACTAAAATTCACTGTCTCCTGGTGATTGGCCAAAAGTCACTTAGCCAGCTTTCATGTCTACGGTGGGACTAGAATTCGCTGTCTCCTGGTGATTGGCCAAAAGTCACCCAGTTGGTTTTCATGGCTAAGACAGGTTGAATGAATGAATGAATGAATAAATGAATGAATGAACGAACGAACGACTGACTGACTTTCCAGGGGGTTCAGAGACTGGCCTCATCCTTTACAGGAAGAAAATTATTTGGGATAACTACCGTGTTACTCAGGGTGGAACAGTGGTAGCAGAGCATATGGTAAGGTATAAAGTAAAGCTGTCCCTGTGGGTTTTCCCCCACTCGTTGTGACCGACTTTACGGGGCCGTGGTCACCTCCGTTTCTTAAGCCAAAGAGCATATGGCAGGAGCGTGGAAAAGTTGGAGCAGAAGAATTTCACCAAATCTCTTCTCCCACAGAAAAGCAATGCGTAGAGGCTTTTCCTGAACGACCTGTTCCTTTCCTGATCACTCTGGTTCTCTCCACAGGGCCGAGATACCGAAACTGGAGAGCTGGCAGCCATCAAAATTGTGAAAATTGACCCAGGTAGGCGGCAATTCTGACATTTTATGTTCCAAAAAGTCGGTGACTTCTTAGTGGTTACCACTCCAATTTTAGCCAATTTCAAGATAGGCCAGCTCAGGAAATAAAAGGTTGCTACTCTATTGGTAGGCCTGCTTCTCAGAATCAGAATGGAACGGAAAGGGACCATGGAGGTCTTCTAGTCCAACCCCTGCTCGAGCAGGAGATCTTATTACCATTCTTGACAAGTGACTATCCAATCTCTTCTCAAAAACTTCTGGTGTTGGAGCACACACAACTCCTGAATGGACGCCGTTCCATCGATTAATTGTTCACACTGTCAGGAAATTTCTCCTTAATTTTTTAGGTTGCCTCTCTCCTGGATTAGTTTCCATCCGTTGCTCTTTTCCTGCCTTCAGGTGCTTTGGAAAATAGGTTGACCCCACCTCTTCTTTCTGGCAGCCCCTCAAATCCTGAAAGACTGCTATCATGCCTAGTCATACCCAATTCCTACAACCGTTCTTCGTATGCTTTAACCTCCAGTCCCCTAATCATCTTTGCTGCTGTTCTCTGCACGTTTTCCAAAATCTCATTTTTTTTTTTGCAATGTGGTGACCAAAACTGGGTGCAGTCTTCCAGGGGCCAACTTGAAGATGAGTGGACTTCATCCCCCACAATTCCTCAGCTAACACTGAGAAATACTAAACCCACCAACCATATTCTGGCTTAATGTTACCCTTCAGTTTGCCCAACCTGCAAAGATAATATAGGTAGTCCTTGATTTACAATCACTTGTTGAGTGACTGTTCAAAGTTACAACGATGCCGAAAGAAAGTGACTTATGACCAGTTCTCATATTTCCATCCCAATTATTCTACATTCCGTGTTCTAACTGGGTATGAACAGTCAATCAATCAAATCAATCAATTAAACATTTATGGCCAATGCATGTGTGTACAATGAAATTGAAATAGACTAGTCACTACTCTAACAAAGGGAAGGATTAGAGGTGACAGGATGGCCGTTTTCCAATATTTGAGGGGCTGCCATAAAGACAAGGGGCTCAACCTATTCCCCAAAACACCTGAAGGCAGGACAAGAAACAATGGCTGGAAACCAACCAAGGAGAGAAGCAACCTAGAATTAAGGAGAAATTTCCTGACAGTGAGAACAATTAACCCGTGGAACGACTTGCCACCAGAAGTTTGGTGTGTTCCATCCCCGGAGGCTTTTAAGAAGAGTTTGCACAACCGTTTGACTGGAATGATATATAGCTGTGATGGCGCACGCAGAGCCATTTGTGCTAGCATGCGAGCTGCAGGCAAACTTATCTCACTGCGCATGTGTGGGCCTCACAGCTGATTTTCGGCTGGTTTGAGGCCTTTTTCGGCCTCCCAAAGGCTTGAGGAAGGCTTCTGCAGGCTTCTGCAAGCTTTGTAGGCCGAAAACTAGCCCCACTGTGTCACTTCTGGTATTTTTGGAAAAACAGGAAGTATGAAACGGGCCTAGTTTTCAGCCTACAAAGCCTGCGGAAGCCTTCCTCAAGCCTTTGGGAGGCGGAAAAAGGCCTCAAACCGACCGAAGATCAGCTGTGAGGCTCAGTGCAGATAAGGGGGCAGTGGGGGGGGGGGTGCCCCGCCCGGGGGAGGGGGGCGGGGGGGGGGGCACATTGCCTTCTGGGTACTGGCACGCGAGCGCGAATGTGCAAGCGCACGCACAATTTTTGGCACAAGAGCCCAAAAAGGTTAGCCACCATTGATATATAGGGTTTCCTGCTTCAGCAGGGGGTTAGACTAGAAGACCTCAAGGTCCCTTCCACCCCTACTGTTCTATGTTCTAATTGAATATGTTTAGCCTACTGAAGAGAAGGACTAGGGGGCGACGTGATAGCAGTGTTTTCAATATTTGAGGGGCTGTTAAAAAGAAATGGGGGGGGAGGGGTGTCAGCCATTGTCGAAGGAAGGTCTTCTTAGAGACTGACACAGGTTCTCCATCTTAGGGGATGACATCGGATCGATTCAGCAAGAAATCACCACCCTCAGGGATTGTCGCCATCACAACGTTGTGATGTATTTTGGAAGCTACCTCAGGTAGAGAATTCCGTCCTGTGGAGTAAAACACAATGGGAACTTGGAAGCGGTAGACTTGCTTAAGCCTCCGGGGAGCCCCTGTTCTCAGCTTTATCAAATTATCGGGTAGCAAGTTGAGCACGATATAATACACTAACCCGGGGGTCGCCAACCTTTTGGACCGCAGGGACCACCGATCTCAGAATTTTGAATCCTGCGGACCACTAATATGAATTTTGACTGATGGTGGTTTGCTGATGTTGGTGGGAATGTCAGTCCCATATTCCAGAGCTGGAGTAGTCGCAGGACTGGTCCTTTGGTCACCCCGGAGCAGCTGTTCCTCCACCCGGGTGCACCGGCCTGCCATGGACTGGAGGAGCTGCTCCGGGATGACCAAAAGGCCGGTCTTGTGACTACTGCAGGAATATGGGACTGGGATATGGGACTGACTTTCCTACCAACATCAGCAAGCCACCCCGGGGCGAATTTCCCTTCCCCGCCGTTGGTCTTCCCTTCCAGTTCCAGCTTGCGTGGCTCTTCTTAAGGTAAGGTTTGCGCTCAGCCGAAGGATGGGGGCCAGTGGGTGGGCGGGCTGTGTGGGCCTTGTGTTCCCATGCAGCCTGGATTAATTGCTTTGGGGGTACATTTCTCTGCAGACCACCAGTGGTCCCCGGCCTACTGGTTGGTGACCACTGCACTAACAGATGGGAAGGCCCCAATCCAGCCCTTCATTCTCTAACCCCCAAAGGCCTCTTTTTCCAGTCCCAAATCTTAGACACGGTGAAATGTAACTCCGCTCCCTACATATTCAGAGGCAACCTGTTCTGCCCCGAACACGACAAACTCTCTGCAGTGAAATCAATGATTCCTTTATTAGGAGCACCAGCAGCCACAGCAAAAAGTTTATTTTTCATCGCAGGCTAACTAGTCTATCCGGCCGGGAGATAAATTGTTGTCTGCCACATCTATTCATCTCTGCCCCCTGTTTTTTATCCCCAGAACTATGGTGGGGCTTTGCTAGCAGCAGTGGCTCTTCCGTCCCAAGGACCGGCCCATAGATTTCCCCTGCTCTCCTCTCCTTTGCCCCCTGCGCATCTGTGTGACAGGCACTATTAAGAGGTGTGGACTTCCAAGAATCCCAGCCAGGATGCTTTAAGAAGGGTGGACGTCAACTCCCAGAATTACCCAACAAGCACGCTTTACAATGGGTGGACTTCAACTCCCAGAATTACCCAACAAGCACGCTTTACGATGGATGGACTTCAACTCCCAGAATTACCCAGTCAGCATATTTTAAGATGAGTTTACTTCAACTCCCATGCTGGCTGGGGAATTCTGGGAGTTGAAGTCCACCCATCTTCAAATGGAAAAGGTTGAGAAAGAAGTGTCCTTAACCAATCAGGTTTCATTCAACAAACCCTGGGTTAATCCATCATGCAAACCTGGTTTGCGTCAGAAGTGCCTGCCTGACAAGCTGCCTTTCACTGTGGGAATTCTGGGAGTTGAAGTCCATCCTTCTTCAAGCCACCGATATTGAGAGACATTGAATTGGGGATCGCATCTCACCCAACCAGCCAAGCTCTTGCTGTCCCAAATAATTATGTATGTGTATATCTCCAGTTCTCTGATACAAATTTCCTTTTTATTTCTGGATTTTAGGAATGATCGACTGTGGATTTGCATGGAATATTGTGGAGGAGGGTCCTTGCAGGAGATCTACCACAGTGAGTTTCTGCCTGTTGGAAGACGGAAGGAAGTATTGTTTGCTGTCCTTTTAGGTTCCCTTTCTAAGTGGATTATACACATTATAGTAAGAGATGGTGGAGATGGCGTGGCAGCTTACATTCCTGGGATCAGCCTACATTCCAGCATAATTTGCAGGAGGCAACCAGGGGTGTGATTCAAATTTCTTAACAACCAATTCTGTGGGTGTGGCTTGGTGGTCATGTGACTGGATGGGCATGGCTTGTATGTAAATATTATAAATATTTATATAAACATTGATTTGTTTTTAATAAAAAAGAGCAACTTTTACCCCAAAGCAGGCAAAGCAGGCAGGCAGATTGAGTTGCCCACAGAATCTCAGATTCACTTAGAGATCTATCTATCTGCAATCGGCTACCTGAGTCTGCACTGAAAAGCTTCAGTCCTAAGGAAGGTTCGGCTCTGCTTTTAGATTAGCTAGAAAGCAAGAAATCCAAGGACTTCTGAAGGCAAGCTGATTAATTGTTCTCACTGTTAGGGAATTTTTCCTTAATTCCAGGTTGCTCCTCTCCTGAATTAGTTTCCATCCATTGTTTCTCTGGTGTTCTGGAGAATAATTTGACCCCCTCCTCCTTGTGGCAGCCCCTCAAATACTGGAAGACTGCTAACCTATCTTCCCCTAGTCCTTCTTTTCTCTAGACTGGCCAAACCCAATTCCTGCAACTGTTCTTCCCATGTTTTATGCTCCAGGCCTTTAATCATCTTAGTTTGCTCTTCCTTGCACTTTTTCCAAAGTCTCAACATCTTTTTTTGTAATGTGGGGACCGAAACTGGATGCAGGATTCTATAGACGTGATATGTCCAGGTAGCCTCTGAGAATTGGGACCACAACTGAAAGAAAAGAAAAAATTGCAAATGGGAGATTAAATCCTTTGGCTTGGCCATCTATTTCCCTTTCTCCCTCCCCCCCCCCCACCCACCCACACACACAACTCACAGAAACAAACCTGTTGATGATCCAGCCTTGGCTACTTCCCTTTTGGAAAATTTGACTTCCCTTTTTTGCTCTCATGTGCCTTGGGTGCCAGGAGAGGGTTCAATTTGCAGCTGGGGGGAAAAGTTAGAAAAGGAAGTGATGGCTGCGTGATGGAGAGCGAAACAGTTTTTGACCCCATGTAGAATTTAGACCAAAGGGCCAGTTTGACTGCTCCGTATTAAAGGGATTAAAGTGGATTAAAGGTGATTAATATGGGCCCTCCCTCTATGAATTAATGCCCCCTTTGTTTCCATGGGGGGAAGTTTAGGGAAAATTCTTTGGAAAACTCAACAAAATGTTATCATGTGCAATTTAATCCCAACAAAATGGAAAGTTGCAAATTTGCTTTTGGTGGATTCCACCCTTGCAGGATTTGGAGCGGTGAGTGGCCCGCAAATGCTGAAACTCAAGATTAATAGTTATTAATAAAGGGGTGAAATTAAGATCACATGAAGTGTTGGTACCACTTTATAATGCCTTGGTAAGGCCACACTTGGAGTACTGTATCCAGTTTGGCTCCCCCAGGGGTGGGATTCAAATGTTTAACAAGTGGTTCTGTGGGCGTGGCTTAGTTGGGGAGTGTGGCTTGGTGGTCATGTGACTGGATGGACGTGGCTTGGTGGTCATGTTATTGGATGGGCGTGGCCAACTCAACATCACTCACATCGAGGCACGCATCCCCTCGCCTAGCCTCTCGTGACTGTGGGGATGCTACAACAGTCGTAAGTGTGAAAAATGGTCATAAGTCACTTTTTTCAGTGCCATTGTAACTTGGAATGGTCACTCCACACAAGCAAAGTACCAGCAAAGGAGGGGAAAAAAACTCCAGAGAGGTTCCAGAGACAGGAAGTCTAGTCCTACCACGAATGTACTAAGGGTTAACAGAGAGGTAGTTTCTGTAAGCAACACCAGAATGTTTCCTTCCTGCCTTCCTTACAGGATTAGCCCAGTAATTTCTTATAACAACCGGTTCTCCGAACTGCTTAGAATGTTAACAACCGGTTCTAGCGAATAGGTGTGAACTGGTAGAATCCCACCCCTGTGCTCACCCCAATATAAAAAAGATATTGAGATTCTGGAAAAAATGCAGAGAAGAACAACAAAGATGATTAGGGGACTGAAGGCTAAAACATACAAAGAACTCTTGCAGGAATTGGATATGTCTACTCTAGTTTAATGCAAAGAAGGACTAAGAGTCTTAAAACATTTGAGGGGCTCCTATAAAGATGAGGGGGTTAAACTTTTTTCCAAAGTATTGAAAGCCAAAACAAGAAGCAACTGATGGAAACTAATCAAGGAGAGAAGCAACCTAGAACTGAGGAGAACTTTCCTAATGAATGGTGAGAGCAATTAATATGGAATAACTTTCCACCAGAAGTTGTGGGTGCTCCATCACCAGAGGCTTTCAAAAAGAGACTGGACAACCATTTGTCTGAAATGGTGTAGGGGTCTCCTGCTTGAGCAGGGGGTTGGACTAGAAGACCTCCAAGGTCTCTTCCATCTCTGTTCTTCTAAGTTTTGATGACCCAAAGGGGGCATGGCACAAAGGCAACCCAGTTAGATAAGCAATAAGAGTCCCTTTATTAGCTCCAACTTTGCCCCCAAGGTCCTGGTTACCTTCTGGCTGGAGAAGAACTCTCCCAGGAACAGCCTTTGGCTGCAGGAAATCAAGGCCAAAACGTGGTCAACAAAAACTGTAACTAAAAGTCCAATCAAGGCAAATGAGGTAATTAGTTCGGCAGGGCAGAGCAAGAATTCCAGACGTGAAGGAACGGCAGTAATTAAACACAGTTGGAAGATGCCAGGAACATAAATAAGCAAAGTCAACACAAGATAAACTCACGTTTGCTCTCCCAGAAGCTGCCACACTCAGCTTGCTTCTCTTTTAAAGTCCCTTCCCAGCTGTGGCTAATGAAGGGAATCAGTGCCCTTTCCTCCCCCATAAACCATGCAACCCATGTTGCTCCCTTCTCCGTTCCTCCCTGCGTACCCTAGGATGGAGAGGAGGGTGGGCCTGGGTCTTCCTCTGAACTCCCTCTCCCTTGTTCTACCTCTTCCCTGCTCTGCCCCGCCGGACTTCGCTCTTCTCCAGTTTCCTCCACAGCCAATGATACTCCCACTCCCTGTCAGCTGTTTGTCTTCCGCCTCAGATTCAGACTCCGACAGGGGCATGACATAAGTTCTGTGTGCTAAGATAATTCAGTTTTCTCTTTTTTTCAGGTACTGGGCCTCTATCTGAAAAACAGATTGCCTATGTCTGCAGAGAAACCCTCCAGGTAAGTGTACAGGTGATGGGGGTCACTCTTCCTGCCGGGAAAAGCAAAATATAGTGGGTTCCAGGACTGATATACAGGCAGTAATCCTTGCCTTACGAGCATTTGTTTTGGGATTGAAGTTACAACAGCATTGAAAAAAGTGACTTATGGCCATTTTTCACAGTTACGACCGTTTGCAACATCCCCACGGTCACATGATCAAAATTTGGCCGTTTGGCGGCCGTTTCATATTTGTGATTATTTCTGTGTCCTGGGATCACATGATCCCCTTTTGTGACCTTCTCACAAACAGAGTCATTGTGGAAGCCGGGCTTCACTTAACAGCCCTTGACGCTAACTTAACAACTGCGGTGGATTCACTTCACCAATATGGCAGGCAAGATCATAAAACGGGGCTCTCCTCATTTAACAACTGCCTTGCTCAGCAACAGAAATATAGGGCTCCCTTGTGGTCGTAAGTCGAGCACTACCTATAATTCCACTATAATGATAATTTGCTGGGCAGTCATTTGGAAATGGTTTTCCACCCCTTCTATACATGCTGGCTGGGGAATTCTGGGAGTTGAAGTCCACAAGAATTAAACTTGCCAAGCTTAAAGATTTCTGGTTTGGAAAAAATATATAAACGGAGAGAAACGTGATACAAATAGTTCCTACTTACAACCATTTTTTTAGTGTTGACTGAAGTTGCAACGGCACTGAAAAAAGGGACTTATGTCTGGTCCTCAAACTTACGACCATTGAAGCATTCCCCACAGTCAAGTTTTCAAAATTCAGACACTCAGCAACTGATGCATATTTATGACGGTTGCAGTGTCCCAGGGTCCACTTTTGCGACCTTCTGACCAACAAACTCAATGGGGGAGCCAAGATTCACTTAACAACCATGTTACTAACTTAACAACTGCAGTGATTGATTTAACAAGTGTGGCAAAAAATGTGGAAAAACCCACTGAACAGGTATCTCACTTAGCAAGAGAAAGTTTGGGCTCCATTGTGGTCATAAGTTGAGGACTATATGTAGAATTTTTTTTCTTTTGTTTGAATCTTACAGTAGTTTTATTTGTCTGGTGGTAAAGAGAGAAATATATATATATATATCTGTTTCTCCATGCCATAAATAATTCTACCAACTTCAGTTTATCTCTCCTTTTTTTCCTCCTTCCTCTGACCTAAATCCTTCCGGATATAGAATTGCTCTGGGCTCCTAAATTATTTTGATTCCTCCTTAGGATTTTTCTCTTCTCATTTTATCACCTCAGCAAGTTTCTTTTCTTTTGAGCTGCACTAAACGAAATACGACATAACATAGATTGTGTGACTGCAGTGCAGATGACTGTAAAAGCAAAATATAGGGCAGTGTTTTCCAACCTTGACAAACTTAGAATGGGTGGGCTTCAACTCCCATAATTCCCCAGTCAGCCTGCTTTAAGATTGGTAGAATTCAACTCCCCAAATTCCCCAGTCAGAGTGTTTTAAGAACGGTGGACTTCAACTCCCAGAATTCCCCAGTCAACAGGCTTTAAGATGAGTTCAACTCCCATGCTGGCTGGGGAATTCTGGGAGTTGAAGTTCATCCCTCTTCAAGTGGAAAAGGTTGAGAAACAAGTGTGTTTAACCAATCAGGGCTCATCCCACAAATCCTGGGTTAATCCATGATGCAAATCTGGTTTGAGTCAGAGTGCTTGCCTGACAAGCTGTCGGAATTGTCGCCTTTTGTTTCCCTTTTAGGGGCTTCACCACTTGCACACCAAAGGGAAAATGCACAGAGACATTAAGGTGAGACAGATTCAATTTTGTCCCTTTTAATCTCGCTTTTTAAAGCACTTTGGGAGCTCCAGGTGGGAGAAGGGAGGAAGAGAGTTTCTCCAAAATGGCCACCAGTCCTTCTGAGCCTCTTTTTCTCTCTCTGATTCAGGGGGCCAATATCCTGCTGACGACCAACGGCGACGTCAAACTGGGTTAGTTCCTCTTCCGATATTCCCTTCCTGCTCGGCATCTCGGTTTGTCTGCAGAGCAGGTCAACCCCCCCCCGCAGATGGTGGGCGGGGCCTTGCAGTTGAAACCCCGCCCCTTTTAGCATGCATTGTTTGTTAAAAGGGGGTGGGGCTTCCGCTGCATGACCAACAGCCACCATCTTGGATTTTTTGACGCACCTTCACCCCCCCCCCCCACACACACACAACGGAGACTTCTGGGTTTGAGGTATCCTGGCTGGGATTGATCGTTGAGCCTGCCCAGGAAGTCCTCGACTTAACATCCCCTTTTTAGTGACCATTCAAAGTTACAACCCCACTGAAAAAAGGCACGTTAAGACTTTAAAGTGTGTTACGACTGGGTCAGCATCCTCATAGTCACGTGATCAGAATTGAGGCACTTGGCAACTGACTGGTACTTATGACGGTTGCAGCGTTCCACGGTCCCTTTTTGCTCCTGCCCCCATTGCTCTCTGGGGGGAGAGAGTGCATAGAGCAGTCTAAGAACAGAGCCTAGAATAGAATAGAAAAGAAAATGAAATAAGAATTATTAGAATTAGAATAATGAGAATCAGAATAATGAGAACTAGAATAATGAGAACTAGAATAATGAGAATCAGAACAATGAGAATTAGAATCTATATATATAAAAGCTAAATACCCCTCATGCATCATCACAAAATCTCCAGAACCGTAAAGCCTACAAACTTGAAAATTGGCATGTAGGTTCCTCTTGGCTTCTAGGTGCTCACTAAGAAAGGATTTTTTGAAATGACCATCAGAGCATTTAGAGTATTTCCTATATTATTATTATTATTAACGCACTCTGATGTTAAGGAGTTCTACTCCCCGTCCCCACCTGAAAAGAAATCTGTGCCAAAGGCAAAACACTCGCAGAGGAGAGGAATTTCAGACTCACAGCATCAAGCAGCTTCAGTACAGAACAGTTGAGCTAAGCCACGCCCAGGCTCCTTTCTATCTCCTTCTTGCTCACACAGCAAATACTGTTTCAGTTTCCAAACAGCCTTCAACTTTCTCACACACTGACAGGACGCTAGCCAGATGAATGCCGATGGATGCTGGTAGGCAGAGGCAGAATTTTTATTTCCTTATTTTCCTCCCCAAAAACTAAGCCCAACCACATAGTTTCGTAGCGAAGCACAGGTATCCAGCTAGTTAGAATTAAAAAATAGAATTAAAAATAGAATTAGAATAAGAATAGAATTAGAATAGAATGGAAGAGAATTGGAATAGAATAGAATTATAATAGGAATAAGAATTGGAATGGAATGGAACAGACATTGAAGTTGAACTACAATTCCTATCCTTTGTATACCTACACCAGCCATTCCAGTTGGCCCAGTTGAAACTCCCTTTGATGTTGTTCCTCCTTCTCTCTCCTCCACAGCGGACTTTGGGGTCTCGGCAGAATTAACCGCTTCGGTGGCCAAGCGAAAATCGTTCATCGGAACGCCCTATTGGTAAAACCCGTGTGTTTGCTCTGCTTCTTTGCAATCTGCCTCCCGCACCGCTATCGCGAGGTCGGTGCTCTGTGTGTGTGTCCTGCGGCAGAATGAGCAAGTCTTAACTTGGTGGTCCTGCAAAACCTTCCCGTGAAAATTCAGTCACCAGGCGAAACCGTGAAACGTGAATGAATTTGATTCATTCATCCAGAGTGGAGCCTTCTGTTAAAAAAGGAAGTGAGAGAGAGGGAAAATTTGCATTGGGAAAGGGAGCAAAGGGAATTTGGACCACAGAGGTTGAGAGAGAGAGATAAAAAGATTATTTGTTAGCCTTCAAACTCGGTTGCTGGCTTTATGGATTAGGCCTCTTCACGGCAAAGGTACAACATGTTGTCATGTTGCATGAAATCTGGAAGCTTTCAAGAAGAGACTAGAGTTGCCATCTGTCAGAAATGGTGTAGGGTCTCCTGCTTGGGCGGGGGGCTGGACTAGATGACCTACAAGGTCCCTTCCAACTCTCATTATTCTGTTAAATCCACTCTTGGAAGTTGTTGCCTTTGCTGATTTATCACAACAAAGAATGAGTGTTCTTGGGGTGGCTGGGAAAGTTAATATTAAGAAAGGAACAAGACAAGGATGCCCTCTGTCATCATTGTAATTTATACTGACATTAGAAATATTAGGAAAGATAAGGAAATAAAGGGTATGGAGATAAAAGAAAAAGGAAGAGTATAAATTACAGGCATTTGCAAATTATTTTGTTTTTATATTAGAAGAACCACTAGAAACAGGACCTAAACTGACAAAAAGGATAGAAGAATATGGAGAAGTTACGGGACTGAAAATAAACAAGGGAGAAAAATTAAATCTTAATGAAAAATGTCACAGAAAAGCAAAAAATAGAATAGACAGACTAGCTATTCACTTTCTATAAAGAAAGTGAAATATCTGGGGATTCAGTTCACAGCAAGATGTGGGATGATTAAAGAAGATAACTATTATAAATTAAAACAACGGAACAAAATAGACCTGGAAAAATCTGCAACTATCATTAATAGGGAGAATAGCAACAATTAAAATGAATATATTACCAAGAGCTCTTGGAAGTTGTTGCCTTTGCTGATTTATCACCACAAAGAAAGAGCGTTTTTGGAGTGGCTTCCTCGTCTTATCTTGCATTCTGTCTGATTCTCCAGGATGGCGCCAGAGGTGGCCGCGGTGGAGAAGAAAGGCGGCTACAACCAGCTGTGCGACATCTGGGCCCTGGGCATCACCGCTATTGAACTGGCAGAGCTGCAGCCCCCTCTCTTCGACCTGCACCCCATGAGGTAAGGAAGCTGGATGAGAGAAAGTTTGCAGAGATCGGGGTAGACTGAGCTGGATGTAGAGGTTAGCATGGATTTAGATTTGCAAGCATAGCAATTTTCAAATAGGTGGACTTCAACTCCCAGAATTCACCAGCCAGCATGGTTTAAGATGGGTGGACCTCAACACCCAACATTCCCTAGCCAGCGTTCTTTAAGGTGGGTGGACTTCAACTCCCAGAATTCCCTGGCAAGGATGCTTTAAGACGGGTGGACTACAGCTCCCAGCATTTCCTAGGCAGCATGCTGGCTAGGGAATTCTGGGAGTTGAAGTCCACATATCTGAAAGTTGGTGAGGCTAGGAAACATTGAATTACAATATCCATCTGTATTTCAGGGTCCTTAGGGGGAAAAACAGTGGAAAAATGAGGGGTATCTGTTCATTTTAACTTCTCCTTTGATTTCTTTATTATTTCTTCATTTTTTAAAATTAAAATTATATGGTCACCCATCTAAAATACATAACTCTAGATCTCACACAAGTAAAAACAGAATTTAAAAATTATAAATACGTTTCATCAGGAGTCTCACTAAACCTTACTTTGTGAGTTGTTTTGATCTTGGCTTCCTGATTAAATTCCTAATTAAAATTGGTCATAGCCTTGATTTCCCTTCTTATCTTTAATGCAAGCGCTACCTTTTCAGTCTCTCTGATTAAAAAAACCCAACAACAATAAAACAAGCCACCTCGGTAGGTGTGTATTTCCGAAATCCTAATTACAGCTTCAAAAATCCTAGAATTCTTTGGCGTTGGCTTGGGTGACAGATGCAAAAACACTCATAATTTTGCTCCCGTCATTGAAAGATCAGCATATCAATTTGGCTCCTTGGGAGAGGCAGGATTAAATCCACCCACAATAGCAAAGCCACACAAAAAAATGCCACTGGTTTGGCCTTTCTAGAAAAACCAGCTTCCCAACATCTCGATGTCCGTGTTTGTGTAATATTTGACCGTCCTTCATAGCCGCTCCCTGCTCAAGGATCAGATAAACAGATAATCAGAGTTGGACGGGACCTTATAGGTCATCTAGTCCAACCTCTGCCCAAGCAGGAGACCCTACACCATTTCTGACAAATGGCAGTCCAATCTCTTCTTGAAGGTCTCAAGTGATGAAGCTCCCACAACTTCCGAGGGCAACTTCCATCGCTTGATTGTTCTCACTGTCAGAAAGTTTCTTCTTATTTCCAGGTTAAATCTCTCCTTCTTCAGTTTCCATCCATTATTCCTTGTCATCAAATCCCCAAATTTGTCCGCAAAAATGCTGGCCCTGAGATCCTGGCCCTCTGACACCTTCCCAAGAGTTGGGACTCCAGCTCCCATCAGCCTCAGCCACTGTTCAATACAGGTAGTCCTCAGTTTACAATTTAGTTGTCAGGATTCCGGCACTTAACTCCATTTAAATCATGAGCCTCAAGCCAAACTTCCAAAGCTTCAAAAAGATTTATTGGGAGTTAGAAGGTGCAGCATTGCCTGGGTGTATCGTAATTCATATTCTCCAATGGGACACATCCATAGCACAGAGTCACCCATCATACTCTCCGGTTAGAATTTCGCACGGCAGAAACTTCAGTCACCTAGTTACTATCTCTGAAAACATTTATGGAATGCAGTTTCGGTTTTGCAAGCTGCCTCATTGCTCCGCCTCCCTTTCTGTTGGCATCTCTAAAAAGACCAGAGAAATATTTTATGATTGCCGTTAGTGACCTTTTAAAGTTATAAATGACTTATTACCATTTTTCAAACTCACAACCGTTGTAGCATACCCCATGGGCATGTGATTAAAATTTGGATGGCAACTGTTTCATATTTATGACGGTCACAGTGTCCCCGGACAGGGGGTCATGTGATCCCCTTTTGCAACCTTCTGACAAAGCCAAGTCCATGGGGAAGCCAGGTTCACTTAACGACCGTGTGACTAACTTAACGCCTGCAGGGGTTCGCTTAACAACGACGGCAAGAAAAGTAGAAAACGGGGCAAAAGTTACATAGCTGTCTCACTTAGCAACGGAAATTTGGGGCTCGGTTGTGATCGTAAGTGGAGGACTCCTTGTAATTGGAGGTTTGAATAAGACAAAGGAAAAGAAAGCAATTAAGCATTTTTTCTGAATGGTCCTTTCATTTCGGCGGAATGTTTGAGCATTCCATGACATCACCATGAATCAGCCAATGGGAGAGAAGGCATTTTGTAGAGAAGGGATTCCTGTTTCTTTAAAACATGGGTCTCCCAACTTTGCAACTTTAAGACTTGTGGACTACAACTCCCAGAATTCCTCACTCAACCAAGCTTGGCAACCTTAAGACTTGTGGACTTCAACTCCCAGAATTCTCCAGCCAGCATGCTTTAAGATGTGTAGACTACAAATCCCAGCATTCCTAGCTGGTATGCTTAAATATGGATGGACTACAGCTCCCAGCATTTCCTAGGCAGCATGCTGGCTAGGGAATTCTGGGAGTTGAACTCCACATATCTGAAAGTTTGATGAGTCTAGGAAATATTGAATTACAATATCTACCAGTATTTCAGGATCCTTAGGGTAAAAAAACCTCCCAGAATTCCTCAGTGAAACCTAGCAACTTTAAGGCTCCCAGAATTCCTCAGCCAGCTACAGAGTTGAATTGAATTCTGGGAGTTGAAGTCCACAAGTCTTAAAAGTTGCCAAGTATGGACACTTCTCCTTTAAAACAAAGGAGAAAAAGAAAGTTAGTTCTAACTCTTGTTTTGTTTTGCTGTGCAGAGCTCTGATGTTGATGTCGAAGAGCAACTTCCAGCCCCCCAAGCTAAAAGATAAGGCGTGTTGGTGAGTGTGTGGGTGTGTAGGAGACACAATTCTTCTCCTGGGGCACTAGGATTTTTTCTCTTCATTTGCCTTCCTGTTTTATCCTTCCAGGTCTCCTGATTTTCACCACTTCCTCAAACTCTCCCTGACCAAAAATCCCAGAAAACGACCAGTGGCAGAAAAACTCTTGCAGGTGATGGCAGGTTGGGAGGTGGGCAAAAATTAACAACCACACCCCCAAATCCCCCTCCCCCAAATCAAAATTGTCTAGAAACAACTCAGGAAAGGAAAGGAATACCACATCGTCTCTACTGGGGATGCTGGAGACATTCGTGAGGGGCCTGTCGGGATTCCAGCAATCGCTCTAATTAAATCATGAGTCTCGAGCCAAACTTCAAAAAACTTCAAAGGATTCATTAGAGGCGACATACTGGCACTGTCCTGTGTGAAGCCAACTCTGGCAGACGTCACTTACAGTCCCCTGTGACCCCGTTTCTCCCCTGGGTGTGTCATAAATCACATTCTCCAATTGAGCACCTTCACAGGCTGGGTGTCATCAATCACATTCTCCAATTAAATATATTCCAGGGCAAAATCTCTGGTAGTTTAGCTACAATTTTTACAGATAAGAGTTGGAAGATACTTCCTCTTTCAACTGCTCTTCCAGATTTCCTTCCTCCCCCTTTTTTTTATGGCAACTACTAAAACAAGCATAGGAATGTTTTATGAGTTGACACGGCCATTTTGTTTTCCCAGAATACAGGTAGTCCTTGACTTACGACCAAAATTGAGTCTAAGTTTTATGTTCATAACCGAGACCAGCGTTAAGTTGACTTTAGCCCCATTTTATTTGCGAAGGGAAATTGTTGCAGTTGTTGAAGTTAGCCACAAGGTTGTTAAGTGAATCTTGGCTTCCCCATGGCTTGACAGGGAGTGTCACAAAAAGGGATCACATGATACCCCCCCCCGGGGCCGTCATAAGTGTGAGTCAGTTGCAGAGCAGCTGGATTTTGGTCGTGTGACCCTGGCGAGGCTCCAGCGGTCGTGTGAAAAATGGCCATAATTCACTTTTTTTTCCAGTGCCCTTTTCACTTTGGTCACTAAACGAACTGTTGTAATCAAAGGACTACCTGTACCCTGATGTAGTGTCACTCCAGGGGATTATGGGATATTTTACTGGGCTTCCTGTTTCCCCATTCCAGAGAGCTGTCCTTCTTTGCTAGGTTCGTTCCTAAAGCAGCTTTAACGTATTATGGGATATTTTTGGGCTGGGGTGTCCATTTGCTGCAGGAAATCTTGGGGTCCTCTTTGGGGAACAAGCTCCCAATGAAAACTGGGAGGGTTTTTGGTCGGTGGTGGGATTCAATTTTTTTACTACCGGTTCTGTGGGCGTGGCTTGATGGGCATGGCTTGTCCTGGTGGGCGTGGCTTGGTGGGCGTGGCAGGGGAAGGATACTGCAAAATCTCTCCCCACCCCACTAACCTGCTTTCCAGCTCCGTTCTCCTGTGCAGGGCAACCAAAGAAGACCCAGCCAATCAGCTGGGACGCAGGAGGCGGAGAATAGATGGGGGCGGGGCCAGTCCGAGACAGTATTCTCTGGTTCTCCGAACTACTCAAGATTTCTGCTACCGGTTCTTGAGAACCGGTCAGAACCAGCTGAATACCACCTCTGTTTTTGGTCCCTTCGGCTTATCCGTGTCTCTTCTCCCGTAGCATCCTTTCGTCTGCCAGCCTTTAGCTCGTGTTCTCGTCATTGAATTACTGGATAAAGCCACAAACCCTGAATTGGCTGCTACTGCCTTGGACGATGGGGATTTCGAGGTACGGTTGTCCAGTTGTGTTGGGGTAGGTGGGTGGTTGGATGGAGGAGGATGGAGAGTAAGTTAATCACTTTCAACTTCGCTCATATTTTCGGTTCTGCACTAGGCGAACCGGTTGTTAAATTATGTGAAGCCCGCCTCTGGTCGCCATGCACGAATAGGCGGCAATATAAATTCCATAAATAAGTAAGTAAGAAAGTAAATCTATATATATATATAAAAGTGAAATACTACTCAGGCATTATCACAAAATCTCCAGAACTGTAAAGCCTACAAACTTGAAATTTGGCATGTGGGTTCCTCTTGGCTTCTAGGTGCTCACTAAGAAAGGATTTTTCGAAATGATCATCAGAGCATTTAGAGTATTTCCTATATTATTATTATTAACACGCTCTGATGCTAAGGAGTAAAAAGATACATTCGTCAAGAATCATAAGTACAACACTTAATGATAGTCATAGGGTACAATAAGCAATCAATCAAGAGCATTAGTATTTCCTATATTATTATTATTCACACGCTCTGATGCTAAGGAGTTCTACTCCCACTCCCCACCTGAAAAGAAATCCCTTCCAAATGCAAAACACAAGCAGAGGAGAGGAGTTTGAATTTCAGTTTCAGATTCACAGCACCAAGCAGCTTTAGTAGAGAACAGTTGAGCTAAGCCATGCCCAGGCTCCTTACTGTCTCTTTTTTGCTCACACAGCAAATACTGTTTGAGTTTCCAAACAGCCCTCAACTTTCTCACACACTAGCCAGACGAATACCAGTGGAAGCTGGGAGGCAGAGGCAGAATTCCCCCCCAAAAACTAAGTCCGATCACATAGTTTCATAGCAAAGCCCGGGTATCCAGCTAGTAAATGAATATTGGAAACAAAAAAAAATGTGACTTTTGCTCCCAATTCAGGCTTACGACGTTTTCCCTGATAAAATCTGCTCGAGTAAGCCACATGGGCCGGCAGAAGGCACCCTGTCGGAGATCCAGCGTAAGTATAGCCCGTATGTCAGAATGGCCTTCCGTGCGAATGTATGTTTGTATGCAAACACCTGCTTTGCTGAGCCAGTTTTCTAAAATGCGGGAGGCCCACTAGAGCGAGAAGATTATTTCGGGAAGAAATGAGGTATTGGTGTGCCTTGAAGCCCTGAAGTGGGATGGAGTTAAAGTCCTGGGCTTAGGCAAGAAAAACCAGATGTACAGGTGAAGGAGAGGCGGTACCTGGCTCAACAGTACAGATAAGTCCTCGACTTACAGCAGCTCCTTTAGTGACCATTCAAAATTACAGCGGCACCCCAAAAAACCTGATTTTTGATCATCACTGGAGGTTTTTAAGAAGACATTGGACAGTCATTTGTCTACAATGGTGTAGGGTCTCCTACTTCAGCAGGGGGTTGGACTATTAGACCTCCAAGGTCCCTCCCAGTCCTACGGTTCCATAATGAAATGTAAAACTACATTTTTTTCCCCTAAAGAACTCAGCTCCATTGAGGGGCCTCCATGCACCCTCCCTTGTTGTCCATGGGGATTCTCAGTCCTCCAGGTCATTTTCGTCCCAAAGGTGTTTTTTTCAAGAGGCAACTGGACTTTGGGGTTGTTGGTTTTTTTTGAAGACGTTTCGCTTCTCATCCAAGAAGCTTCTTCAGCTCTGACTGGACTGTGGGGAACAGAAGGATTTATACCCCTTGCAGACAGCTGGTCGTTTGCGTTCTTTTAGAGAGCTGTTGAGGCCATTTGGAGGTTTATTTATGTCCTCAGATAAATCTGTGTCCTCAAGTGGGTCCTTCCGCACCCATTTGCACTACTCAGGTGACCCTGGGGACATAGACAAACCTCCAAGTGGCCTCAATGACCCTTAAAAAGGATGCAAATGCCCAGCTGCCTGCAAGGAGTATAAATTCTTTCATTCCCCACCACCCAGTCAGAACTGAAGAAGCTTCTTGGATGAGAAGCAAAATGTCTTCAAAGAAAAAACCAGAAAGTCCAGTGGCCTGTTGGAAAAAGCGGCTTTGGGACAACTTCGCTTGTCCTTAACTAATATCGGGGGATTGTGGTCCAAAATCAGCACAAAATGACCCACTTTTCTCACTTCTTGTTGCATTGCTTGCAAAGAAGCTTTAAAAATCGGGGATTTGGCCTTTCAAACCCTTGGAGTAGAATCTCATTTCTGCCTGTCTGGCTGATCTTTCAATTGTTCCTGTTTTCCAGTTAACCAGGTTAAATTCGGCCCTCCGCTAAGGAAAGAAACGGAGCCGTGGGGCAACTCAGTAAGTGGCATTCATAAAGTGTGTATTTGTGTCTGTGTTGACATGTTGTACAAATGTAACTTGTTTGGCTCGGTTTAACGTTTGCATGAATCGAGCCATAGTCAGGCTGTAAACTGTGGTTTGCAGCTAAGAATATCAATCCTTTAAACTGGTGACGAAACAAACTGGGGTTTAGGGTTTTTCATGCACAGTGTAAGTTGGCTGTCCTCGACTTACAAAAGTTCATTTAGTGACTGTTCAAAGTTACAATGGCACTGGAAATAATGACTTTTTTACACGAGCGTTGCAACATCACGTGATCAAAACTGAGACACTTGGCAACCGACTCATTTATGACGGTCGCAGTGTCCCGGGGTCATGTGATTTCCCCCTTTTGCGACCTTCTGACAAGCAAGAAGTCCATGGGGAAGCCAGATTCACTTAACAACCATGTCACTAACTTAACAACTGCAGTGGTTCACCTAACAGCTGTAGCAAGAAAGATGGGTCGCACTCACTTAACCACTGGTTCTCTTTACAAAAGAAATTTTGGGGTCATAAGTTAAGGACTGCCTGTACATTCCCACCCGTCCTGTTTTCTTGGGGGTCAGAATTGGGAAGTGAAGCAGCTCAGCCTCCAAGCTCCAGATGTGAGGGTGAAAAATAAAACTAGATCACTTTTATTCTGGCCCGTTTAATACGACCGTTTTTGTCTCTTTAGCAGACGGAAGAAGAGGAAGAGAATTGGATGGTGCTTGGAGATGGAGGGTAAGGAATTTAGGGGGGCAAAGATGTGCTCGGGGGGGAGTGGTGCGGTGGCCTTGAGGCGGAGCTCTCGTCTCACAATCAGGAGGCTGTGAGTTTGATCCTACCGAAGGTAGAGGCAGATATTACTCTCTCTGGACACAATGAGAATATATCTGCTGAATATGTAACTCCGTACTGGCAACAAGAAGGGCATCGGGCCAGTAAAACACTCTGCTAGCTCCATTCAATTGCCCAGACTCCACCCAGCAAGGGATTGTGGGGTCGTTAAAAGATGAAAGTTGTGGTCGGGGTGCTTTTCCTCACCTTCCCTATCCTGCCTGAGCCATTGACTTGCTTTATGACGGAGTGTGAAAACATTGGGAGCTAATTTCTGCCTCTTTGTCTGGACCAAAACTATTGTGTTAAGCATGCTGTGCAAACACAAACATGGAGTTTTATTAACCCAGGGTTTGGACAAGGCACTTGTTATATAGTGGGGCTTAATTTATGCTGGTGTGTTGCCCAGAACCCAGCCAATTGTGCTTTGGCCAATAAACTTTGATGGATGTCTGCGGAGATTTTCAGTCATCCAGTCATGGTTATCCCAAAGATGTTTTTTTTCCCTCCAAAAAAGTCAACTGGACTTTGTTTTTCCTTGAAAACGTTTCACTTCTCATCCAAGGAGTCTGAATTGAAGAAGCTTCTTGGACGAATAACAGAGTTGGAAAGGACCTTGGAGGTCTTCTAGTCCAACCCCCTGCTCTGCAGGAAACTCTGGCATTTCAGACAAATTGTTGTCCAATCACTTCTTAAAAACTTCTAGTGATGGATTATTCATAACTTCTGGAGGCAGGTCATTTCACTGGTTTATTATTCTGACTGTCAGGAAATTTCTCCTTGTTTGTTTGTTTGTTATTTGTTTGTTTGTTTATTTTTGTCAATTGCTTACAAGATAATAGGTATAAGTATATACATAGTTATGAATACATGAAATGGGTACATATAAGAAACAATAAAAAGAAACAATAAAAAGAAACAATAGGACAGGGACGGTAGGCACGTTGGTGCGCTTATGCACGCTCCCTACAGACCTCTTAGGAAAGGGGTGAAGTCAATAGTAGACAGTCTAATGTTGAAGATTTTGGGGTTTGGGGAAGAAACCACAGAGTCAGGTAGAGTATTCCAGACATTGACCACTCGGTTGCTGAAGTCGTATTTCCTGCAGTCAAGTTTGGTGCACTTAACCTTGAGTTTGTATCTATTGTTTGCTCTTGTGTTGTTATGGTTGAAGCTGAAGTATTCATTTGCAGGTAGGACATTGCAGTGTATGATTTTATATACTATACTTAGAATCGGACCGAAGGCGGTATAATTCTAGGTTTTCTAGGTCTAGAATTTCAAGTCTGGTGGCATAAGGTATTCTGCAACGAGTAGAGGAGTGGAGAACTCTTCTCGTGAAATATTTCTGGACTTTCTCTGTATTAATATTAGATACGTAATGTGGGTTCCAGACTGATGAGCTATATTCAAGTATTGGTCTAGCAAATGTTTTGTATGCTCTAGTTAGTAGTGTGATATTACCAGAGGAAAAAACTATGCAGGATTAGGTTAACAACTCTTAATGCCTTTTTGGCTATGTAGTTCTAGGTTGCTTCTCTCCTTGATAAGTTTCCATCCATTACTTGCAAAGCACCTGCCTTCAGGTGCTTTGGAAAATAACTTGACCCCTCTTCTTTGTGGTAGTCCCTGAAATATTGGAAGACTGCTATTCTGTCCCCCCTAGTCCTTCTCTTCATAAAACTAGACATACCCAATTCCTGCAACCATTCTTCATATAATTTAGCCCCCAGCCCCTTATTCTTCTTGTTTGCTCTTCTCTGCACTCTTTCCAGAGTCTCAACATCTTTTTACACCACAGTGACCAAAACTGTGGCCTTACCAAGGTATTATTAAGTGGGTATTAACACTTCACGTGATCTTGATTCTATGTTAATACAGCCTAGAACTGTGTTGGCATTTCTGGCATTGCAGCACACAGCTGGCTCCTATTTATTGTCCAAATATCTTCAAGAAAACACAAACCCCAGTTGCCTTTTGAAAAAGCACCTCTGGAGTTCCATGATAGCACGGGCACAAAACTTTGGATACAGTATTGAATTAGATGAATGGGAGAAACTACGAACTAGAAATTATAAATTAACGAACTCCACTGCTTACAAAGAAAACTTGTGTAAAATGTTCTATCGTTGGCACTTGGCCCCAGCGAGATTGGCTAAGATGTACTCCCAACACGAGCCCAAAATGTTGGAATTGTGGACAAAAGGACGGTAACTTCTATCACATGTGGTGGCTATGCCCCAAGACCAGGAAATATTGGGTTAAAATAAAAAAAAAAAACTGGCTACAGGAGATTATCAAACACCAAACTGAACTCAAACCGGAATTCTTTTTACTAGGAATAATTATAATAAAAAGATTAAGAACATATATTACATATTTTGATGGCAGCCAGAATAGCTTTTGCACAATTATGGAAAGGAGCCAATATCCCCTCAGAAGACTTGATCATACAGAAGGTACTGAAATGTGCCGAAATGGATAAGCTCACATTGGAAATGAAAGGCAAGGAGGATTCTGAATATTATGCAATATGGGATAAATGGTATGAGTGGTTAAAAAAACAAATACAAAGAAGAAGAATTGTGGTAAATAAAGCAGGAGACCTTAGTAGATTGTTAATATGATTATAAATAAATGTATATAGGATGTATGTATTTGCCGATGCCAAAACGTTGTTAAGATTAGGATTGAGATTTGTATTTTTGAAAACTAATAAAGACAATTAAAAAGAAAAAGCACGTTTGGGGAAACCCTGTTGGAGCAAACTCTGGCTTGGTGTGATGTACAGACTGAGCAACTGATGGGTTACTTTGTGCCTTCCCTAGGAGCCTCCTTCAGTCCGTCGAAGAAGCCCTGGAAGAGAGGTAAGAGGAGATGGGAGATTAATCTAGAAACTCGGGGACACTAGCCGAGTTTTCCCCAGACAGGCCAACATTAAACCTGGTGTGTTGTTTTCTATCCCCAATAAAACTCTTAAAAGGTGGTCTTGCCCAGTGCAGCCTAATTTGGAAGGGTCCTTTTGGAATCATCTTGATGGTAGCCTCAATGTGGCTCCCACCCAAACCAGATAATTTTCGATTTATGGCCACAATGGGGAACAGAATTTCTGTTGCTAATCAAGGCAGTTAAGGGAGCTGTGCCTGATTTTATGAGCATGCTCATGTTTGTTAGTGGAATCCCTGCAGCTGTTGAGTGAATCATTTGGTCGTTGAGCGAACCTGGCCTTCCCCGTTAACAGAAAAGAGTGGGAAGGGAGCCTGGAGGTCTTCTAGTCCAACCCCCTGCCCAAGCAAGAGACCTTATATCATTCCAGACAGGTGGCTGTCCAGTCTCTTCTTAAAAGCCTCCATTGTTGGACTATCCACAACTTCTGGGGGCAGGCCGTTCCACTGGCTAATTGCAAAACTCGCTTAACAGCTTAAATGTTGGGCTCAATTGTGTTCGTAAGGTGAGGAATAACTGTGTTTTCTTGGTAAAAATCATGTCCCAGGAGGATTTTTTTTTTTTTTTGCTGCATATTCCAATGAGAGGGTTGACATCTTTGGATTTTTCCTCATTCTTTTATTCTGTTTCTTTTCATTTTTTAAATTGCTTTTTCTTCTTTAGGAGTCTAACCATCCGCCCAGCACGTCCTACAGAGCAGGTATGCATGAAACCGTCACCTCCTTTGGGTTCTGCAAATTATTGTGAGAATTCTATCATTCTATAATAATTCTATAATTCTATAAAATAATTCTGCAAACTATAGTGAAGTACTAGCACCACTCTATAAAGCCTTAGTAAGGCCACAGTAAGAGTACTGCATCCAATTTTGGACACCGCACTATAAGAAAAGAGACTCCGGAAAGAGTGCAGAGAAGAGCAACCAGGATGATGAGGGGACCGGAGGATAAAACATGAAGAACGGTTGCAGGAACCGGGCCTGGCTAGTCTAGGGAAGAGAAGGACCAGGGGAGACAGGAGAGCAGCCTTCCAGTATTGGAGGGGCTGCCCCAGAGAGGAGGAGGAAGGGGGCCAAGCTATTCTCCAAGGCAACTGAAGGCCAGACAAGGAATAATGGTGACTGAACAAGGAGAGATTCAACCTGGAAATAAGGAGAAACTTTCTGACAGTGAGAGCAGTCAATCAGTGGAACAGAAGTTGCCCTCTGAAGTTGTGGGAGCTTCATCCCTGGAGGCTTTCAAGAAGAGGCTGGACTGCCATGTGTCAGAAATTGGTGTAGGGTCTCCTGCTTGGGCGGGGCAGGGGGGTGTTGGACTAGATGCCCTCCAAGGTCCCTTCTGTTAATCTGTTACCTATCTGTATCTATTCCGGTGTTTTTTCCACCCACCCCCCTGCAGACTCAGGAAGAGCAGCAGACAGGCGGACTTGGAGAAGACGTTTCCGGCACGATCAAAAGGGGACCCTTTTGGGATTTTCTTAACCTGGAGCTCGCATACAAGGCTCCTTGGGAGCAGGACGGGGAGCGCTCGGATCTGGAGGGGCCCAGGGACCACACCGTCCCAGGTAAAGAGGTGTCTTTCACTTTGTATTTTGAGACCAAGTAACTCTCAAAGAACAGAATAAGAACAACAGAGGTGGAAGGGACCCTGTAGGTCATCTAGTCCGAAGCTGTTCCACTGGTTAACTGTCCCCCCTGTCAAGAAATTCCTCCTCAGTTCTAGGTTGCTTCTCTCCTTGATTAGTTTCTACCCGTTGCTTCTTCTCCTGCCTTCTGGTGCTTTGGAGAATAGCTTGACCCCTTCCTCTTCTTTGGGGCAGCCCCTGAGATACTGGAATGCTGCTATCGTGTCTCCCCTGGTCCTTCTTTTCATTAGACTAGACATACCCAGTTCCTGCAACCGTTCTTCACATGTTTTAGCCTCCAGTCCTCTATTCATCCTTGTTGCTCTTCTCTGCACTCTTTCTAGAGTCTCAACCTCTTTTTTTTACATCGTGGTGACCAAAACTGAATGCAGTATTCCAAGTGTGGTCTTAGCAAGGCTTTATAAAGTGGTACTAACACTTTGTGTGATCTTGATTCTATCCCTCTGTTTATGCAACCTAGAACTGTATTGGCTTTTGGGCAGCTGCTGCACACTGCTGGATCACCAGCCAATTTCCCCAGAATTCCTCTGGGAGTGGAAGTCCACAACTCTTAAAGTTGCCAAATTCGGACACCCCCCAATATCGAACTGAAGGATTGGGGGGGGGGTGTGACATGGTAGGGGTCTCTCTAGACTTGAGGGGCTGTCACAGAGAAAAGGAGATTAGCTTATTCTCCAAAGCACCAGAGGGCAGGACCAGAAATAATGGGTGGAAGAAGCTTGTGGAAGAGAATCCAAACTGCTTTCCTGCCAGTGATTTTGATATTTCTCTTTCGACAACAGGCAACACGGCCTTCGGTGAGACGTCAGATGCTCCTGTGACGGATTCTCCCAAACCTGCAGACTGCCTCCTTTCCACTGAATGGGCCACCATGAAGAAGAAGGAGGAAGCCACCGTAAGCACACTAAATCAAGATTGTTCAAACTCGGTTTGGCGGTTGGAGAAATTGGGTATGGCTAGTCTAATGAAAAGAAGGACCAAGGGTGACATGATACCAGTGTTCCAATATTTGAGGGGCTGCCACGAAGAAAGAGGGGGTCAACTTAGTTTCCAAAGCACCAGAAGGCAGGACAAGAAACAAGGGATGGAAACTAATCAAGGAGAGAAGCAACGTAGAACAAAGGAGAAATTTCCTAATAGAACAATTAACCTGTGGAACAGCTTGCCACCAGAAGTTGTGGTTGCTCCATCACTGGAGGTTTTTAAGAAGAGATTGGACAATCTTTTGTCTGAAATGGTACAGGGTCTCCTGCTGGAGCAGGGTTGGACTAGAAGACCTCTAAGATCCCTTCCTCCAACTCTTACTATTCTGTATTCAATTCCTCCAGAATGGATGGAATTTTGTTTTATTTATTTGTCCAATTTTCAGTACTGTACATCACACTCTGAGTGGTATCCAATGAAAGCACAAAGTGATATAAAAGTTATAGATAAGACCAAGTTAAAAACCAGAGTAAAACCAAGTTAAAAGGAGCAATCGTGAGAGACTCGGGGTTGGAATAGATTTTGCGAGTGGTTACAAACAAAAGGGTAGAAGTTAGAGGAAGAAAAATGGTGAACGATCTTATCAGAAACAGAGATGGTATATAACTATAATTGTTATAAGTACTAAAAATAAAAATGAACTAAACACAAAGAATGGGAATTGTACTGTATGGGAACTATCATAGTATTATTAGAATTATTAAGTTATGTATTATATTATATTAGTAAATGGGACAATATTTTTTGATAGTATTATCGAGAGAGAGGGAGAGGGAGAGGGAGACTCGAGGGGGGGAAATATTCATACAGATACAGCCAGATACAGATTCTATCCCAAGATAGAATCCCAGGGGTATCTAATCTTGGTAACTGTAAGACCCATGGACGTCAACAAGGCCGGCTGGGGTATTTTGGGTTGCAAAAGGGGATCAAATGGCCCCGGGGCACTGCAACAGTCAAAAATATGAGCTGGTTACCAAGTGGCTGACTTTTGTGACCAAGGGAATGTGCAACAGTCGTAAGCATGAAAAATGGTCATTAAGTCACTTTTTTATTTCAGTGCCGTCGTGACTTTGAACAATCACTAAACGAATGTGCCAGGGCTCTGGCAGTTACCCCCATTTAAATCCCGAGTCTTGAGCCAAACTTCCAAAACTTCAAAAGGATTTATTGGGAGTTAACATGTCCGGCACTGCCTAGGTGGAGCCGACTCTGAGACATATAATTCATTGTCACCCTTGACCCTGGTTTTCCCTCTCCCCCTGGGTGTATCCTAATTCATATTCTCCAATGGGACACCTCCATAGCCAAGAATCATCAATCATGTTCTCCAGTTAGAATTTCGCCTGGCAGAAACTTCGGTCACCTAGTTACTATCTTTGAAAACATTTAAGGAATGCAGTTTCGGTTTGCAAGCTGCCACACTGCTCCCCCCACCCTTTCTGTTGGCAACTCTATAAAGACCATAGAAATATTTTATGAGTCGACAGAATGGTTGTAAGTAGAGGACTACATGAAGAGAACATGGGCTTCTCTTTGGTGGCCCCAGAACACGGGGCCAGAATTATCTGGATAAAATTGCAAGGAAGGAGATTCTGGTTAGATTTTTGGAAAGAAATCGCAGGTTGAATGAGCTCATAGTGGTGAGGTCTTCCTTCGCAGGAGGTTTTCCGACAGAGACCGGACGGTCATGTTTCTGGAATGCTGTCGAGAATCCAGCGCTGAGCATGAGGTTGGACCTCTAAGTTTCCCTTCCAAGCCTAGGATTTTATTTTTTTTATTTTTTATTTTTTATTCTGTGAAATGACCCTGGTCAAATTCCTGGTCTTCTCCCACCAAAGCAGGAAGACTAATTCTGCGATTGAATGAAGAATGGGGTTAGAGACCGTGCCTTCGTTTCTTTTATTAAAAAAAGGAAAACATTGGGAACTTTTAAATAATGTTTCTTTAATGCTCCCCCCCCCTCTCCATCACCTTTCCAGAGGTTGCTGTGCCGCGGATTGCCCCCTACACCCAAAGTTCATGTAAGTTGCATTTCCTTCTTCCCTACCCAAGCCCCCCAAAACCTGGAATTTAACATTTTAATGCAAATCCCAAAGGTGCTTTTTCCAAAAGGCAAGTGGACTTCCTGTTTTATCTTTGAAGACGTTTCGCTTCTCATCCCAGAAGCTTCTTCAGCTCTGACTGGATGGTGGGGAATGGAAGGATTTATGCTCCTTGCAGGCAGCTGGTCATTTGCGTCCTTTTAGAGGGTCGTTGAGGCCACTTGGAGGTTTATCTATGTTCTCAGGGTCACTTGAGTGGTGTAAACGGGTGTGGAAAGACCCATTTATCCGAAGACACAGCTAAACCTCCAAGTGGCCTCAACGACTCTCTAAAAAGAACGCAAATGACCAGCTGTCTGCAAAGGAGTGTAAATCCTTCCGTTCCCCGCCATCCAGTCAGAGCTGAAGAAGCTTCTGGAATGAGAAGCGAAACGTCTTCAAAGAAAAAGAAAGTCCAGTTGGGAAAAAAAAGCACCGTTGGGATAATCAGGACCTGGAAGACTGAGGTTCTCCATAGACATTTTAATGCAAGCCAATTTTGTTGGTACTTTCCAAACAAATTCCTGAATCACGGAACCACAATCCGCCAGCTTTTTCACCCATTTAAATTTTGCAAGGAAAAGGCAGATAGCAGCTGGACTACGTTATTTAAGGCCAGTGGTATGTATTTCAGGGGTTTTTGAGTGTGTGTGGTACATGATGAACATCGTACAATGGGAAAGAAAGCTCAAATGAACTTCTGCCTGGAGACAACGCAAGTGGGTGGCTTTGCAAAATTTAGTGGTGGGGCAAAGTGTGAAAATGTGGTAGTTTTGCTCACTTAGAGGGGTTAGAAAAGTCTCAGATCTGCCTATGACTAAAACGGGGGTGGGAAACTATTCTATGATCTGTGGACTTCAAATCCCAGAATTCATCAGCCAGCCTGGCTGGGAGTTGAAGTCCATAAGTCATAGAAAAAAAAGCCGCAGTTCCCCACCTCTGGACTAAACGAAAGATTTGATCCGAAATATAAAAGGGAGATTAAAAAGCACTGCAGAACAGTTGACAATGGAGGAATACATCCAAGGCATTTCCTGCTTAAACAAACACACCCCAATGTCCAAATATTCCATTTCCTCTTTTCTCAGATGGGAGCTTGTTTTTCCAAAGTTTTCAATGGCTGCCCGCTGAAGATTAACTCCACTACAACGTGGATCCATCCAGAAACACGAGGTAGGGATTTATTTCTGGTTGATTTCT